ACAGAATTGAGGCAAACAAATAACTGAACAAATTATGAATGAAATACAGAAATTTAAACAAACTGTATTCTTCCCTAATTGTAACTCCTTCTACCATATTTTTTAGTGACATAGGGATATTATTTCTTACATACATAAAAGCAGTTGTCATTGAGTCAATCCCAATTCACAGCAACTCCATGTGTCAGAGTTTTCAATGGATGATTTTTTGGAAGTAGATTGTCAGACCTTTCTTCCAAGGAACTTTCAGGTGGATTCAATCTTGCAATATTTCAAATCAAGTACATTAAACTTTTGCACCACTCAGAAGCTCCCTTGAACACATAGCTAAGGAGAAAAACTTCTAGTCATTTATAATTCATGTAGTCCAGAGCAAGTTGCTTAGTACCATAGATCCTTCATCAGTAAAATGAGGATAATGGGATTGCTGTGAGAATAAAATGAATTAAACCTTGTAAAATACCTAGAAAAATATTTAGCACTTAATTAATATTAGCTATTGTATTATTAGGAGCTCTGGTGGTGTAGTGCCTAAGGCTACTAACTAACTGCTAACCAGAAGGTTGGTGGTTCAAACCTACCAGCCACTCCTTGGAAGGGAGATTGGGCAATCTACCCCTGTAGAGGTACTCCCTCAGAAACCCAAGGAGGGGTCGCTATGAGTCAGAAACCTCTCGATGGCAGTGAGTTTGGTTTTCTGGTATTGTATTATTATTTTTATTACTTTATATATTGTACCCTTAGGTGGTGTGAACAGATAATGAGCTCGGTTGCTAACAGAAGGGTTGGCAATTTGAGCCCACCCAGATGAACCTTGAAAGAAAGGTCAGTCAATTTTTGAAAAATCACTAGTAGCACAGTTCTACTGCCATGAATGGGGTCACCATGAATTGTAATTTACTCAATGGATATATGTGTGTGTGTGTGTGTGTGTATTTGTTGTTGTTGTTATTTGACATCAAGTCAGACCCAACTCATAGTGACCCCTACCTGGGTTTCTGAGGCAGTATCACTATGGAAGTAGATTGCCCAACCTTCCTTCTGAGGAGTGGCTGGTGGGTTTGAACC